CTCACGGCACTTATAAAAGTAACATAATATTCGCAAAAAAAGAAAGAAAAAAAAACTTTATTCATTGAAAAGCTTATACATAAAAATAATCATCCTGATTGGAAATTAACACTTCGGGTTACATCTTTATTATTACACTGAAAATTTCATAAGTAAAGTGTCTTGCTCATAATCAGTATTCATTTTCTCTTAAACGTGTACACTGCAAACAATTCTGGATCAAATTACGGTAAAAAGGTACCGGCACTCAGAGAGCGAGTACTTTTGACCGTACGATTTTGCAGAATAAAAATATGATATACCGTAATTTTGATAGTAATATTTACTGTAAAACCACAGAATTACTGTAATTGTATAAATATTACTGTGAAAATTACGGTACAAAATTTTACAGTAAAATTAGATTTTACAAATACTGCACTCAGAATGCCATTACTGTTAACCCTAATTTGATCCAGAATTTTTTGCAGTATATTCATTGTTAAAAATCAGATGTTAAAAAATTCAGATAATCAGATGTCAGTGTGATAATCATTAATAAAAATTAGATATTTTTTTTATTTTCATCGTTTACATTCAAAAATACTTTTATTCGCCTTTCCTTACATTGAATTTTCTAATTAAGTTACAGAGTTATTTAAAGTGATACTCATTAATTAATAAATGTTTCAAAAGACAATATAATAGAAATACATTAAGCATTTTATTCTATCTCACAATAAAATATACACATCATAAACTCTTAAATATTATATTTTTAGCATTTTCTTGGATTTTCATAAATATTTTAATTTGAGTTTTTGGCTCAATCAATTTGAAAAAATAGCTGTTATAAATACTTAAAATTCCGACATTTCAGACCCATAAAAATTCTATTGTAACTATTTTTACCTAATTAATGAAATTAGTTTTTTTTTCCCACTTCAACAGATAGATTATGTATAAAGAAATACAATAATCAGATAGAGTATCAATATGACAATTGAATTGAATTACAGTTTTATTTGTACGATGTTCAAAACCATAAATTAATTGATGAAAAGTAAGAGCATGCATAAGAAATAATCGAAAAATTATTTGAAAACGTATTGTAAATAAAACTGCTAGTGAAACGTATTGCATCGTATGGTAAGCAAAACTGCCAGGCAAAAGCTAGAATTTGAATTGACGGTTTTAATCTGTTTATGATTAGGATGAAGAAGAAAAAAAAGAGAAAAACCGTTCTTCCAACAAAACAGCTTTAAACCGTCAAAATACAGAGAAGTCCGTAAAAAGAAAGGCAAATTTTTACATTGTAAGAATACTTACAATTGGGTCGAAACAACATGATAACAGTGTTCATAACATATAATAACTATTACTAACATATAGTGTTATTAATATTTAATCAATGATGTGATTACATTAATAGCATTGGAAATACTATTGCATTTAACATATTTTTAAATTTTCCTTTTCAAGAAATTTTCTTAAAATCATTTTTCAAAAAAGTTTTGAACTCAGACATTTTAAATAATAAATGTAAAAAAAGTATTTATTAATATTGAAATACAGTTAACATTTTATTAAACTTTATTTGAACAAAAAATCAATTGGTTAAAAGGAATTTTTTTTCCAACCACAACGATTTCCAATTATATTAGCTATTAAGAAAAGTTACTAAAAACTAATTGCATTCAATTTTCTTTAAAATGTTATTTAAATTAATTTTCAAAACCTTTCGAACATCGCGTTTCTAGAATGAATCTTTCTCCTCCTAACAATGAATGAAAAATTTCTCATCAAAAGTATACTCAAAATTTAATTTTTGTATTTCTTCTTTATTTTATCACTTTTACTACCAAAGATATGAACTCTTATGCTTTAATTGGTGTTTCAAGGCTACGGCTTTTTTTATTAATATTATTCTCAAACACATACCCTTAAGAAAAAGTGAAAAAAGTTTCACATATAACAACTGAGAAGGAAACAATAGACGAAAAGCAGATTCCTAATTGAAAGTCCGTCGCCCACCCCTTTTGTATACCCTAAGGCTGATCTTTCCTCTCACCCCCTTCAACAGGGAAAAGGGGGTAACGCCCCCCAAAACTCCGTAGCCCAATGTTGACTCGCTCCTTAATTGGGACTAATGATATTAAGATAATTCGATAAGGTTGGGGATATGCCTCTGGGGCAAGACGTAGCCAATCGGGGAAGCAATGGGGAGGGTAGTTCTGAGCATCAAACGATCAAAAGGGGAGCACAAATTGAGAAGTTGATGCACAAACTTTTAGTCATCATTTTAGGGGGGTTGAGATCACGTGGAGAGACTACAGACGCTCTGCTGTATGACGATGACCAAAACAGCGGCAACATGTGGCATGCACAAGCAAAGTACGAGGAATTTTATTTGAAAACTTTTAACTCAAGTTAAGTTTTAAGTCAGTGCTTAACATGGAATTTAGTTTTTGAAAGACAGAGTAATACGAGGAATTTTGTACGTTGTTCTCTTTAAACATCGTTTCAATATGATAATATTTTCTTCGAATCTAAATGATAATAACAGGGTGCTGTTATTATGCCATGCCAGTCCATTACTGCTGGTGTTATTTAATTAAAGTTACCCAAAAATATTATCTTTTTTTTAAGAAAGCGAAATAGTTTCAGTGTTTTTGATACAGAACTGAATTTAAATTATAAATTGAAATGTACATAGTTTACATACATAAATATATGTAAAATACACATGTACATCGAATCATGATTTATTTTCAAAATTTATCCTACAAAATGATTCAAGATTTCTTCTACAATTTAAATTAAATGAAATTTCATAAGTATATTATATATTATATACAAAAAAAATTTTTAAAGGAAGTTTTAATTATTTATAATTTTTAAAAAAAAAAAAAAAAAATATTGGTCAATAGAATTAAAAAGGAAACTGAATTGAGACGTGAATGAATTATTAGGTTAATGAACTAAGACGATAAAAACCGAAAAAATTGTTTCAATAGTTTTGAGGTTGAAACTTTCTCCAGTTTTTTTTTTATTTAAAAGTTTTTTTATTTAAAAAAAAGGCTTTTCAAAATTAAAATATCCTTTTATGAAACAATTATATTTATTTTAAACACCGTATTTTTAAGAGCGCAAGAAAATAAAGTTCATTTTTAATCATTTTGATTATAAATCTATCGCCATACCTATTGTCGATCGTCATGAAAAAAATGTGCAAAAATATATATATAAAAAAAATATGTTTGAGTACAATAGAGAAATACTCGTTTACAAAGCACAGTGTAAGCGGAATATTATTAGGTGCTTTATTTATTTCTTAGAAACGTTATTTTAAAAGTACTTAGATGCTTTCAAACAATGTAACTGGCCCGGAAACAGGATTTCCTACAAATTTTATGTATGTTTTAATCAAAGCTCCCCTAAATGACTTGATTCTCAAGTCAACTAATTTACTCGTACTTATCCCAAAGAAGTAGGAATAAAGTGTTACATTACAAATTTGAAGAAATGACAGAATAAGTATTTTATACAGGAACAGATGGATTATTATCAATGATGAGAAGTTTGTTTGGAGCTTTCTTTGCATATAAACTGAAAAAGTTGAAAAAAATCTAGAAGATAACTCAATATTTTGTTATGAAAAATTCCGGATCAAATTGAATTGCGGTATAAAATTCGGAGTCGAAATATTTTTTGATATGGTTGAAACATGGTTGATATGGTTTGACATGGCAGTATTAAAAAAAAAAAAAAAAAAAACACGTGTGTACACTGTAAGAAATTCCGAATCAAGTTACAGTATGAAGTACCGGCACTTTGGATGCATCATCTGATAAATCCATTTTTACCGCAATTTTCACTGTAATATTTATTTAATTAGAGTGATTCAGTGATTTTACGGTAATTATAACTGTAAAAAATACGGTATATCAGATTATTTTCTCCGAAACATGTTCCAGTAAAAATGGATATTACTGTAAAAGTACCGGCAACTTGAGAACCAGTACTTTTTACCGTAATTTTATCTGAAATATTTAACAATGTGTTTACTCCCCTTCTCATTTTCTACAGCGTGTAACTATATCTTCATAAGAATTTCGTTGTTACAAGATATTTTATTCTACAAATAAGATAATTCCTGTCTTTATTCCTATCAAAGAAATAAATTTTATCAGGAAAGGGTTTTCTTGCCTCTTAATTAACCCTTTTGGAAGTTTTCTATAGATATTAATTACTTTTACCTTTTTAGAAGAAAAATCATATATTTAGGTAATTAATTAGTGATATATTAATAATTAAAATGAAAATTTATAGAGATAGTTTGAATATCTGGCTACAATATTTAAATTAAAAAGAAACGACAAGTATCAGTTGATAATATAGAGTATTATGATTTTGCTTCATTCATAGTTTAAAAACAGTCACAAGAAAGCTCTAGGTAATTTTTTTCAACAAAAACTTCAACAACAAAAAAATAATAAATAAATAAAAAAATAACAATTACTACTCGATGCGAAAAATAAATGTAAAAACTGCTAAATCCAGAAAAATTACACTTTTTTTTTAATTTTTAAGGGTGTAATTTTGCAATTGATATTGAACATAAATAAATTAAAGTGTTAAATAAGAAATAATTATTGATCATAAATTTTTAATTTCTCTCCCGGCCATAAAATTTTTTGTGCTCCGTAAAAAAAAAGCATTATTGCACTGTCATTCTTTGTGTTGTAGGAAATCAAATATCAATTTCTGAGCAATGATGAGTCACTTATTGTACATTTTCCGAAAATTATAATTTTTCTACTCAAAATACTGTAAATAATTTTAATCTTTTATAAAAATTGAAAACTATTTTTAAAAAATTACATCAATAACTTCCTTTAAAATAGATAATTTTTTAATCTCCGGACAATGCTCATTTCAAGTATTTTAAATTCTTAACTGTCTATATTGTGATGCAAGTTTTGAATAGTGGATACTCATAAAGTAAATTTCTTTTATAGGTATGGTTTCAGAACAGGCGAGCCAAGTTCCGCAAGCAAGAGAGATTGAATCAGCAAAAACAAGCTCAACAGTCTAGTGGTAATAGTCAACCTAATAACAACAGCACAAGCACTTCTAGTACGTCCTCGACTACTAATAACGGCACAGATAGTATAGTATCGAGCATGAAAGAAGGGGGTACAGGAACATCTTCCTGTATTGCAAAAGACACAAAACCACCCGTCCTTTCGTCCATGAATACGGATACAAAAGCTGTGAATGGTAGGTTTATAATTTCGATTTTTATAATCTTAATTACAGAAATATAGTTTATGTTTACATGAGGATTAAATATTATCGCTATATCTAAATATTGATCACCACTACATTATGAGATTAATGACCATCGTTACATTAAATTCGTGCAATTTGATAGTTTATACGCTAAAGAACTTGAAACAGCATGGTAAGCTACATTTTTTTTTTCATTTTTCAAGATACTATAGTGATAAAAAACACCATGACTACTTAGACATTCTTCATATTGCTTGGTTAACTAGTGGAAATTTAGAGAATGTAATACGAAGAATGTCTAAATAGTCGAGGTGTTTTTCGAAGAATGTCTCTTTTTCATACATACGAAGAATGTCTCTTCGTAATATCCAAGCAATACGAGGACATTTTTCATATTACTTGGTTAACTAGTGGAAATTTAGAGAATGTAATACTAAGAATGTCTCTTCGTAATATCCAAGCAATACGAAGACATTCCTCATATTGCTTGGTTAACTAGTGGAAATTTAGAGAATGTAATACGAAGAATGTCTAAGTAGTCGTGGCGTTCTTCGAAGAATATCTCTTCTTCATACATACGAAGAATGTCTCTTCGTAATATCCAAGCAATACGAAGACATTCTTCATATTACTTGGTTAACTAGTGGAAATTTAGAAAGCTTGTACTTGGTAATAATAAGGAACAACTTAGTGTAATTCACCCACCTGTCTGAAGAAAAAAACGTGGGTTATCACTTTATAACTACAAACCTTTAATTTAAATTTAATTATATAACCCGTATTTAATGCATGCATAGATCTTGATGTTCTTAGTACTTTTTCCCCCCCAAGAGATTCCTTATTGGTATAATGTAAAAAATTCTGGATCAAATTAATTACCATCACTAAGGGGGGCGGTACCTTTTACAATAAAATCCAATTTTATCTGAACATTTTACTGAACAAAAAATATATATATATATATATAAGGTAATTTTTACTGTAATACGAGTAATAACCATAAAATCACTGAATCACTCTAATTAAATCAATATTACTGTAAAAATTAGGGGTATAATATTTTACGGTAAAATTGGATTTTATGGATACTGCACTCTAAGCTTCGGTACTTCATACCGTAATTTGATCAGGAATTTCTTACAGTGTATAAGACTGGTTTTTTTTTAATACCGCCATGCATTTGCTAAGAAATTATTTTGACTTGGAACTACTAATAACGGCACAAATTTAAATATTGAATTGATCGACAAAAGTAAACAAGTATATATAAGTATCCTACAAAAAAAGTTTTAATTCTATGCAATAAATGCAATAAGAATCAGATTTCTCATATTTTTATCTAGCCCATAAATATTTCTACAGAGAAACATTCATTCGTTAACCATTTATAGTTCAACGTTTTGAACCTCAAACCTCAAGTCAGTCATAAAATAGTAAACAATTAATTATTTGTTTATGTATTCCATCTTCAGCTAGTTCTTTATTTTATTTAAAGAAGGGCAAGGAAAATAAAATTGAAAAAATTCCTCAAAAAAATAAAAAATAATTTTTTTTTTAAAATTGTTTGTAAGAATCAAAGTCATAGAACTTAATTAGTAAAACTTTATGCTCAAAGAGATTAATAACTCGAAAAAAAAAAGAAGATCAGCCTAGAAGAATTCACTTTTTTTTTCCAGTATACTTTCAATATGTTATGGCGAAAACAGCAATCACAACACTTCTGCAAGATACCATAAATTGAGGGGAGTCAATACGATTTAGATCGCAGTCTTCGGTCTTTTCATCAACACTCCAACGGATCTTAGAGTATATGAGCATGCAGTTAAGACTGCACATCCCAAAACCCAGCACTCTCCTGCCTTTCAAAAACCAGCTTCCCCTTTTGATCCCTCAGCACTATCGAAGGCGGTGGGGGAGCAGGGAAAAAGAGATCTGCAGAAGTCATGCTTCCATTATCCCGCATTCTACTGACGCTAACTGAAACAAATGGGGAACACCAAAAACCATTTACGGAATTGCCTCGACCCATCTGGCATCACGTGGCCGCTGTCTCAATCTACCTCCATCGCCACACCACTCCGTTTCAAACTCTACCACGTGCCATCAGGGCCTTCACCTGAAGCTGAACGTTGTCACACCGCTTATATTTCTTAGCTACGTACAATTTCTTTTGTTCTTCACAGTGGACCTTCGTCCAATATAAGGATCCGTTGTCGGGAGTAAAAAAAAAGAGAACCATGGCTGATGCTTTGTAATTAGGCTGATGGCAATTTTTTCTTTGTTACTTCTACCGAGTTGTTATTGTCCTGTGTTCCTTTTCCTCCACCCTCTTATTAGAGTTGTCCCCAACGTGCTGAAAGCTAAATTGGCTTTTAGATAAAGTAGATTTCCTAAGTATTTTACTTTTATTGTAACTTTTTCATTTTGTTTCAGATCAGCGATGTTAATTTAGGTGATCGTTTTTTTTCTTGTTTTTTTTTCTTCTTCTTATTTTCCCTTTGTAAAAACTTTGTTCGTTTAAAATGTCAACATTCAATTTTTTCGATTGTAAGCTAAAGTAAAAATCTTCTTGCGACCACTCATCTTAAAATATTGCATACTACCTTTTAGCTGAATTGAAGATAAATATTAGACCCCATGAGTTCTGATAGAAATTTATTATTTATAAATTTCTTGTTCAAATTAATTGATTTGTTTTGAGCTCAACATTGCACCATCTTTTACAATTAATTAATTAATTAATTAANTATATATATATATATATATGTAATAAAAAGTGCTTCATAAATCAAAACAGGATATAGAACTTATCAGGCATAGCATATCATACAGCTACATTTTTCTTAAGATATTAGAAAGTTATTTGATATATTATTTGATATTAGAAAGTTATTCGTTAAGAATGACCTATAAACTATTCAATCAATAACTTAGTCATCGGTTTATTAATCCTATTTGTCACCATTTGTTTTCAACAAAAACGTAAACTGTTAAGATTTTAGACATTGGGGTAGCTTACTGTCAGACGAGAAAAGTAACATCTTGTCTCGAAAATCGGCATTTGAATAATTATACTTCGTTTTTTTTTTTCAAAAGTGTGGTTTAATAATCGTTAATAAATATTTCTCTACATTTTGGCCATGCAACATAACCAACTAGACTCAAATAATAATATGTTTATAAGCTATAAGACATCATTTTAGTATCAAACATCATTTTGTCTTGCCTCAATTTCTTTTTTTATTTATCTTAATATCAATTTTAGCTTATCTCGTCTAAATTTTATATTATTTTACTAAACACATGTATGTTGATTTTTTTTCCTCGTCCAAACTAATTAACTATTGCTTATTTTTAAGGAAAAATATCTCCTGCAATGAAATGGAGCACAACACATTGTCCTCAACAAAAACCTGCGGTGGCAGCAATCAGTCCTCTGTCATCACTAGCAACATCTTGTCCGACATCTTCTTTCCCAGGGGTCTTGGGTTCCGTTCCTTACTCTCTATCATCCATTGATACCAAACCAGCCCTAGCTTCTATGTTTTGATTGTTAGGGGGACATTGAAAAAGGAATAAAGTTATCTTTCACTATTATGTGTTGCATAAAAAGTTTACAGACATCAGTCCAATCCATGTGAGAATTGAAAATTTACTATGAAATTTTGTAATTAACAATTCTCTAGAGACAGCTTGTATATAATATACATTTCCTATAAAGTTACATCCGAAATATGGAAGCACTATGAGGGTATCTAGTCATCGATGCAGATATGAAGGTAGGTTGGTCGGATGTATTTAGTCATTCATTGAAGTACGAGGGTATCAAGTTTGAGAGTGGTAATTATCATGAGCTCTGTAAAATTATGAACTATGTTATCGGGAAGACATGATCACAGCTTTCACAGTGTTTGCCAGAATTAACCTAATGTTGTTACAATTAAAAGTGTATTAAAATATGCTATAATTTACTGTTTTATTAAAAGCTTATATATGAATAGGCATAAAAAACTAAAAATAACAGATTATGAATAAATTTAAAGAATAAAAATGAATCGTACATTCATTTATTATGTACCATTATTAAAATTTTAATTATTGTTTTTTGTCGAAGAAGCTTTTTTCGTTTTTGTAATTTTTTTGCTTCTCCAAAAAATTTTTGAAATAATTCTTATTTTATTCCTAAAGTAATTGTTATAATTTTCATAAAAAATACTTTAAAAAAATATTTTTCAAAAGAACTTTCTTAAAATTCACCAAACAAAATTTATAAAGATATTTAAGCAACTTTTGTTTAGTTTAAAAATACAGAAATTTCCCACTTTTATTGCAATATATTTAATTTATATTATGTCTAAATATTAAACAATCACAAAATGATAGGTAAATAAATGGTACATAGATTACTCATAAAATTTAAATTATTGTTTTATTTTACGGTAAAAGCTCTTTTCATTTTTGAAATATTTAGTTTTTTAAAATTTTTTTCAAATGATTATTTCATTAGTAAAATAATTGTTATAATTTTCACAAAAAATACTTTTTTCAATTTCTTATTTAACGTTTTAGTTTAATATAATACCGAAATTTTGCACATTTAATGCAATATATTTTAATTATATTATATATAAATATCAAAAAGAGAACATAAAATGTTAAAAAAAGGCTTGTAAAGTTTATGTTCAATATGTAAATTGTGCCAAGGAATGAAATAAAATTTTAGAATGTAAATATTGTTAATATCAGAAATCTTTGATATTTGACGTTTATTATTTTAAAATGTGTTCTGTAACAAGCTCATATTTTATATTACGCTTGTATAAATGTACAACTAAACTTATTTGGATTCCTAAAAAATTACGAAATGTGTGTTAAGAGGATATAATTAAACATAAGTTAAAACGCATCATCTCAAAAGAAATATAAATATTTATTTTAGAGAATAATTTTGGTTTAGTTAATAAATAGATTGATCAGTTATGCAAAACAACAAGATTTTGAAAATTTTGTGTGTAGTTTGAAATTTTTTTGCCAAAAGATGCTATTTACAAAAATGATCTTTACAAATCAATAATCATAACAAGTTTTGCAGTCTATCTGTCCTTTTTAATTATTTGAAGAGTAGAGTATTAAATTTTTGAAAACATTAAATTTTTAGGTTTAAATACATGTTGTTGTCGGCTATATATTGGTTTATTTATTTTGTTGGGTCAATAAATAAATCAATAAATAAAAAGATTTCTGATGCTGTCTGGATTTCGATATTTCTGTAACTTCTAAAAACAGTTGCCAGAAATTGTCAATAAATTTAAATACATTCCTCAATTTAGATCAATATATAATTTTATAATCCATTGATCCAAATTGATCTATTATAAATTTTGTAAATTCAATACATAATTTCAAAGATTCAAATGGATTACCTTTTGTTATTAGAGATTTGAGAAAATAACGCGATTGATATTTTAAAAGCACAATAATTTTACAACATCTATAATTATAATTCAAAAACTCAACTATTTTACATTCGCATTTTATTTGTTGCCACAATTATAGCTTACAAATGTGTTCTCATATATGTTCAAAGCATGAATATATTATTTGCGTGCATATAATGTATTTGTAAATACACTGGAATATTTTATTAAAAATGTATTTCTTTCTGTGTAATTGTGGTTATTTTCTTAGAATTAATAAATGAGTGCTTTTTAAAAGCTAAAATTATATTGTAAGTCATTTATTTTATTTGATCCTTACAATAAAATTCTAGTAAATTTTTTAATACTTATATCGTAAAGAATTGATGAAAAGTACTATCAATATCAATAAAAATATTCTTTAAAGAAAAAAAAAGTAAAAACTCATTAAATAAAAGATTAAAGAAAACTCTTTTTCTTTTATCTTCTTTTAAAGATAGTATATGAAGTATCTAAGAATAAATATAAGTGCAATTCTTTATTGTTGATTATAAACGGATGTTCAATTATATTAGCATATTATCGCTATTTATATTTTATACAATAAACTTCGCTATATCACGTATTCAGATATAATAGCAAGCGTGATGCTATGCGGGGATGCTTTCGAAAATTATTCCCAATTAAAATTTATATTATTAAAATTTATATTATATCCCCAATATTAATTTATCACAACTGAAATGATTGAGCTAGAAGTTTTTTTTTATAAATTCTGAAAAACAAAGCAATTTAATTGAATTTTTTTCATGCAATTCTTAATCTTTATTTTAAAAGAAGTTGTTGTCATCAGACAAAGATAGAAAGAAAGTGTTGTTGTTGTTACAGATGCCATTTCCCAATACCAGCAAGCTTGTTATGGGAAATCATAGCGAATTTCTAAGGCAGAGAGTGCATTTTCTATTTTTCAGTGGCGCCATCTATGGCCAAGAATACGACTTCAGCCACACACACGTCATAGTTAGTTTTACAGGGGGGACTATTCTTCATTCATTCATCCATAGATCGTAATTTTGACCTGAACGAGAGAACGATCATTCTCCAATTCAGAACCCCCAGAGGTATTAATTTGTTATGGGAACTTGGAGGACTTTGAGACCCCAACAAATGTAACGTGCACTTGTCATCAAAAAAAAAGTTTTAAACGTAACTTGAGGTGTTTTGTTATTTTTAATAGATATAACTTTAAAAAAAATTATAGATTTTTCATCATATACATGCTTCTCTCCATGATTATTTATGCATAAGAGGNAACTCTTTTTCTTTTATCTTCTTTTAAAGATAGTATATGAAGTATCTAAGAATAAATATAAGTGCAATTCTTTATTGTTGATTATAAACGGATGTTCAATTATATTAGCATATTATCGCTATTTATATTTTATACAATAAACTTCGCTATATCACGTATTCAGATATAATAGCAAGCGTGATGCTATGCGGGGATGCTTTCGAAAATTATTCCCAATTAAAATTTATATTATTAAAATTTATATTATATCCCCAATATTAATTTATCACAACTGAAATGATTGAGCTAGAAGTTTTTTTTTATAAATTCTGAAAAACAAAGCAATTTAATTGAATTTTTTTCATGCAATTCTTAATCTTTATTTTAAAAGAAGTTGTTGTCATCAGACAAAGATAGAAAGAAAGTGTTGTTGTTGTTACAGATGCCATTTCCCAATACCAGCAAGCTTGTTATGGGAAATCATAGCGAATTTCTAAGGCAGAGGGTGCATTTTCTGTTTTTCAGTGGCGCCATCTATGGCCAAGAATACGACTTCAGCTACACACACGTCATAGTTAGTTTTACAGGGGGGACCATTCTTCATTCATTCATCCATAGATCGTAATTTTGACCTGAACGAGAGAACGATCATTCTCCAATTCAGAACCCCCAGAGGTATTAATTTGTTATGGGAACTTGGAGGACTTTGAGACCCCAACAAATTTAACGTGCACTTGTCATCAAAAAAAAAAAAGTTTCAACCGTAACTTGAGGTGTTTATTTTGTTATTTTTTAACAGATATGACTTTAAAAAAAATTCTAGATCTCTTCTAGATCTAGATCTCTAGAAAAATTATTTTTATCGTATACATGTTTCTTACTATGCTTATTTATGCATAAGTTTAAGTCCTTTTTTTCTCCTCACTTCTATTTTTTTGAAATACATCACTTAGAATCAGCAAAAACCTATAAAACTATTTGAATTAAAGTATAAATGCCAGAAAACCTATATTATTTTCATAGTTTACACTACCTGAAAATTTCTAAATTTAAATCTCTATAAATATAAAATTCATTTTCGTTTTTCTCAACGTTTGAATACAACGTGTTCTGCATTGACATCCATTTATATATGTTTTAGAATATTTGTAAAAAATCAAGCCTAAAAAACTAAAAAAACTATGCATGTATGAAATCGTAAAAAAGAAAAAACGTAATAAAAAAGGAAAAATGTCTTTAATAAAAAGAAAAAATTTTAGTCTTAAACTTATTGTTATTAAAAAATTATTGTTATAACTTATTGTTATTCTATATTGTTATAAAAAACTTATTGTTATTGAGGTCGGGAAGAACAGAGTAATAACGGAGTTTCAAATAATAATAATGAAAAAAAAAGCTCATTTTTATGGTTAGACTGTAGTATACTGTGAAACATGTTCAGTTCGGAATCTCGATGAGGCTACAAATAATTAGTTAATGATTATTTTAATTACTCTTTTTCTCGTATCGATCTCAATAGTGATAGGATTAATTACATATTTGTCCTTTCTCACTTGAATATAAATATTCGAATATATTTGCATTATCGTTACATTACATTATTTACATTATATTCAAATATTTACATTTATTATAACTCGAATGCATTTAAATATAAATATTAACATGGCTTCATATTTAACAAGAATTCCAAAGAATATCTAGTATGGTGTTAATTTCTAATTTAACATACTGGTTCTGACAAGAAACGAAATAAAGTGTTTGATAAAGCATTTAAATTATTCTAAAATTCTAAAGGAGATGATAGTTTATTTAAGAGTAAAGAATCATAAAAATTCGTTTCTTATAAATACTGAAACAGAATGAAACCATATAAAAGAATTTTACATTCTAGTTCCGATAATAATAGATTATGATAGACGAGTAAATAATAAATTCCGATGATTAACTAGATGATGATTACGATGATGAAATATATAATTTTGTAATATACATGTACTGTTTCAATTTTTTTAAAAAGAGATACAGCATTCAAATTAGTCTAGGGAATATGATTGCTTATATTAGAGAAAAAATCATTAGAATACTTTTTTTAAAAAAATTATGTAGCAAAAGGAATTTATATAAGAGAATTTTACTTTCGAATTCCGATGACTAACAGAAGTGTAAATTCTTTTATTCTGAAGGATTTATAATATTCAGTCAACATTTATTTTTAAATCAATTACCATTTCAGAATGTACGGACACTGTGCCGTTGGTTATAGTTGGAAAAAAAAAATTATATGAAAAAAACAGTTAAAGGATTCAATTTGCGATGTTCACTGGCTACTTTAATCCTCTGACGCAGATAAGA